TTAAAAACTAGGTGGAACAAACGGCCAGACGGGCAATTTTTTAATAAGGAAAATAATTCAAAACTTAAATTTGACTAAAACGTATAAATGATAGCAAGAAATTATCTAAGCCATGTATCATAAAATAAAACGAATGACCGGTTTTCTTTGAAAAATAACCACTCCTTTGGCTTATAACTCAACACTCATTGAATTAAATCCAAATGAATTAAATTTGCATTTTTGCTGTCTTTGCTTTGGTATCCAGTCAATTCGTCGCGCGACAATTTATCGCGCGACCTTTCAGAGCCGACAATTTATCGCCACGACTTTTCATCGCTACGACAGTTTATCGCTACGACAATTCATCGCCACAAAAATATCGTATTGTATCTATGATTTATACAGTATGTCTGAAAAACAAACAATTTTTTTTTGTGCTATATTGAATACCAAATAAAATTATTTTTTCGAAAAAATTACAAAATATCTTACTCTAAATTACACAAAAATATGATTTACTTTTTTTCTGCTAATCAAGTAGTTTTTACTAAGAAAAATATAATAAATATCAATAATGTATTATTGATAAGCCAATTTAAAGTGTATAAGCGGCAGTCACAGGTTCTCAACAGTCCTTTACCTACTATTTAAAAAGGATTATCTTCATTAGCCAATTCGGGTAAGTTACCACATTAGTTAATAATAATAGAGAATCATAATTATCCTTTATTAATCCTTTCAAGGAGAAATTCATAGTGCAAACAATATTTAATTCTAAGAAGGATTATCTTCAATAGCTTGCTTGTGTAAGTTAGTATTTTAGATGCCCTGTTTATAATATATGTATATAAGGTTTAAATAAGAAATACCAACGAACTGTAATCATTCTTATTTTGTCTTTGTACGAGTTTACATCATTGTAAAATTTGAAAATGCCGTTACAATTTGTTGACAGCGAAAGAGGTCACAAAATGCTTTTATACAATGGCCATACACATTTTAGAGAAAAAAATTCTAGAGAAAAAGGTATTTGTAAATGTTCTCTATATCATAAATGGAGATGTACCGGTCGCATTCATACCATAGGCGATGAAATTGTGAAGAGTACCAAACATAATCATGTGTCAGATAGTGCTGATGCCGAAGTAAGAAGAGCTGTTAAAAAATGAAAGTTTTAGCTGAACAAAGTGGTTCCACTACTCAACAAATCATTGCAAAGGTTTCCGAGGGTTTATCGTCATCGGCTGTAGCCAGATTACCACAAGTGAGTGCAATGAAAAGAACTATTCAACGAAAAAAGGAAAAGACAGAAGGAATTCCTGCGATTCCAAATTCTCTGCTTCAATTAGTTATTCCACAGGAATATACACTGACAAGCAGTGGTCAGTTATTTTTAATGTACGACAGCGACCCATCAGAAGATCGAATATTAGTGTTTACAACAGCAAGAAATCTTGATACATGTTGGAGTGTGAACACTGGTACGGAGATGGAAATTTTTCAACAGCCCCTAATATGTTTTCCCAAATATATACAATCCATGGCGTCAAATATTCAAATACCATTCCAACAGTATATGCAATTCTGCCGAATAAAAGAGAAGAAAGCTATAGACGTTTATATGCAGCATTAAAAAATTTGAAACCTGAACTTTGCCCTACATCTTTTTTAATGGATTTCGAAAAAGCAGCGATGAATGCGGTACGAAGTGAATTCCCTAATACTCAAATTCGTGGATGCTTTTTTCATTTTTCTCAGTGTATATGGAGACAAATCCAGAATACCGGATTTCAGAGGCGATATGTGGATGAAGAAGTGTTTTTATCAAATTTGCGACTTCTGGCTGCACTTGCTTATGTTCCTGAAGACGATGTAGAGAGTGCTTTTGATTTATTATTGGAAAGTGAATTCTATGCAGAAAACGAGGACTTAGCAGATTTAATAAACTATTTTGAAGACACGTGGATTGGTAGATTAGACAGAAGAGGAAGAAGACGGTTACCAAAATTTCCTATATCTTCTTGGAATTGTTACAATGCAGCCAGAGAGGGAATTGCTAGAACCAATAATGCAGTTGAAGGATGGCCTAACAGTTTCAGTTCAATTGTTTCCATTGCACATCCCAACATTTGGAGGCTAATTAAGGCTTTACAAAAGGAGGAAAGCCTTAACAAATTGAAAATAGAGCAAATTGTGGCAGGTAATGAAATTACTCAAAAAAAAATTTACAAAGATTATGCACGTCGTTTAAAACTACTTACAAAATCCTACGACGCTCGTAATACCATGGAATATCTTCGAGGAATTGCGCATAATTTTCGAATGCAAGTCTAAATTATTTAATATTATTATATTAATTCAATTTAAAATGTAATAACTAGCAACTACAATTTTTTATAATATATTTTTTTCAATATACCTACTTGTTTTTTATTACCTATACTAAAAAATATATAAAATAAAATTTTGATTATAATAAAAAAAATAAAATAAACCATAAAATGAATTCTAAAAAATGGCTGGCGACAAATTGTCGTGGCGGTGAATTGTCGTAGCGGTGAATCGACTTACGATGAAATATCGGCTCTGAATTTTCGCGCGATGAATTGTCGGGCGATGAATTGACGTAGATCCCTTTGCTTTCTTTGATATACATCAGCTACTGATTCTACGTTGTACCGATAGTGTGGGACTCCAGGTTTTCCGTAGTGCAAGCTCTGGTTACCCACTAAAACCACCGACTTATCATGTAAAGCCGATGTATCATCTTTCCGACATTCATTTTGAACTTTAGATTAGATTAGATTTAATAAGGACTATGGGCCATGTGACCTCCCCCACCTCGACCTTTTTAGATCTATTGTGGATATCCTTTAATCGTTGTTTAAAATGCCTTGTCTAATTTGATCTTTTGTAGTAAGCTCCATAGACTGGGAAGTAGTTCTCCGGTATAGCTGGTTGCCATTGGTTTTTCTTCTCCAAGTGTAAGGAATCTCAGTCTTGCTAGACCTTCGCAGTAGCACAATATGCATTCTGCCGTTTCCTTCATATTATACATATGTTTGTTAAGCCTACAATGCCCTGTTAATTGACCTACTAGTACTCTAGTATTTTTCCTATTAAGGCTTAGTAGATGCTTGGTGAGATTAGGCGATGGTCCTTTTAAGAACTCTTTGGCCTGTCTCTGTCCTGGTGAGTTTTTCCACCACTCCTAAGATTTTTTAAACATCCACTACTTTGTGCATGTTCTGATAAATGTTTTTGTTACATCACAGAAGGGTTCTTGGCCAATTAGGCATTCTAAACTGAATCAGTGGGTTTTGGCAAAAATATGGCAAACCTGTAGCCTGGTAATTTGACAAGGTCAATAAAATAGATAGTTACATAGATTGATCATCCATATTTTTCAAAATAAACATAAGCTTATGCCTTGTAGTAAAAATTTAAGCAATTATTTTTTTTTTTTAATATCCAAAGGCTGAAAATTTATTTTAAAACACATTTTGGCTGAACCGATTCAAATTAATAAATATTTGCCAGGCAATATGGCCGCTCGCCAACGACCAGCTTTGAGCAATCTATATAACTATATATGTATCATTGACTCTGTTAATGACAACATGACAACAGGGTTGCCATATCTAAACTGTCAGTCTCCACTGGTAGCCATTTGGACAGTTCGTTGGAATGCCTAATAAGAGCATTTAAAACTCCTTCTCGGGCTAGTAAATCAGCCTCTTCATTGCCCTTATGTTCTTTGTGGCCTGGTACCCAGGCTAAGGTTAGTCTGTTTTGACTAACCAGCTCTGTTAGGGCTTCCAAATAACCCCACTACATTGCACTCATGGTTATCAATTACTTCCTTCGTCTTCTTATTTTCTCAACAAAATAACTTTAAAAAGATTTGGGTATTTTCTCTTCTTTAGCAATAAGGGTAACTTCATGCTTTTCTCGCTCCCATCTTGTGCATTTGAAAATAGTAGGTTCAGGTGAAGTGCTCTCATTGCAGTACTTGCATGTTGAACCTGAATGACACTCGCATCCTATGAGCGCTTCGCAAAAAATATAAATTAAATGATAAAAATGAAACATAAATAAATTACCTAACATGTGCGGCCTAGAGAATTAAAATTTTTATTTTAACTAAAAATAAGTATTGAAAGGTGAGGTATAAATAAAATGTCTACCTCTTGAACCTATACTAAGTTCTTTAAATTAAATTAGTGCACTCCTTTTTTCTCTACACTATAGCCAGTTAGCAAAATAATGAAAGGTAAAAGAAAATTTGACAGTTTGGTCGCTATTTATAAAGCGTCTAAGCAATTTATAAAACGACGGATTTTGTAATCGGGCTACGACATATACATAAAATTATAAAAATATAAACATCCAATTAATCTAACCTGTGCGGCTTGGAGCCATTTAATTTTTTCTGAACCAGCTTTGACACGTATGAAATCTGCATTTGATAAGTTCTAGCTCAAGCCACATAAGAATACATGCATTAAGACCATCTTAGTTCACTAATAACGATCTGGGTTCGTGTTATATTAACAAAATTACCTGTAAGATTGTGTGAGATAATGTTCAATGATATAACTAGATTGCAATCAACATAAGTAACTAACAAACATTTGTATCGTCTAATAATACCACGTGTTTATAATAACCAGTTGCTCTTGTACCGCGAACATTACCAAATTATTAATTATGCTATTTTTAAGTTGTTAGAGATTAAATATGATTTTACTTAACTATTGTATTACGGCAAAAAATTATATTCATTAAAAATTTATACTTTCGTGCTGTGTACCTAGTTATTAAAAAGAATAAAAGTTTTGAGAAATCCAAACTTTTTAAAGATTTCCATAAAAAATGATAATATAAAAGGAAGTCCTAACAATTACTGTACAGTTTTCAAATATATAAAAAACCCAAATACCATTTTATTCCTTTATTTGTAAGAATAATAATTTTTTTCTACAATATGTCTAATTGCGATTTTTTTAATATTTTAGAAATCTCATTTCAAAGAAGTAACAATAGCAGATGGCATTATTCGTGGGAAATTATTAACTACACACAAAAATAACGATTTTTATGCTTTTGAAGATATTCCTTACGCTCAACCACCAATTGGAACATTAAGATTAAAGGTATGTAATTCATATTTATAAGTATTTATAAAAAAATATTTTTTTCTACACCCACATGGATATTAGCTTATCTACGCACAGACTACAAAACGAAAAAGTATGTTATTGCGTTTAAATGAACGAATATATTTTATATCCATTCTAGGTAGTGAGCCCACTGCAAAAAAATGAAATCCACCAATTACAGTTCATATTTTGGACAACTAACTTCTATTATTTTTTAAATATTAAATAAGTGACAATCCCACTCAGTGATAAAAAATATTTATTAAAACAACAATAGGCAGTGCATGGCACACTATCTGGGATAATAGTAATTAATTTACAGTTCAGGAAAACGAAACTCTATGTTAAAAAATGGACCTATGCAAAAACAATATCAAAAAAAGAACAAGCTAATTTATGTCGACTGCGAATAGGACATACTCACTTGTATCTCCTTGCAGGAGGCCCTCGCACTAGATGTGAGGTGTGTCGAACACGCCTTATTCTACTGCACCTTTTAGACTGCCCCAAATATACCGAAATTAGAAAAAACTCTTCACTTAAAATCTAAAATAGAAATACCATTAAACAATACAAAAAACTAAATAACAACACTCTTAACTTACCTGAGAAATATAAATATTCTTACTAAAATATAGTCTGCGATAAATATTTCACTATAGACACCAAATTTATCGAACTAGAGCGATAACCACAGTTGTTAAAACTCTATAATAAAAAAAATTGAAAATTACAAAATTTCAAAATAAAATTTCTCAAAATAATAGCATTTTAGTTGTGGCATTATTATCGATTTTACACTCATTTTAATGTATATTTAATCTCAATATCTAAATAATATACTGAAAATTAATTTGCAGAATAATTGTCACTTATTTAAAATTTTTAAAAATAATAGTATCCGAGTTACCATAATATGAACTGTGGTTGGTGGATTTAATTTTTTTGCATTTCGTACTAGGTAGAATGGATATGAAATATATTTGTTTAGTTGAACGCAATGGTATACTATTTCGTTTTGTAGTAGGAAATATGTTGAAAGCGGAATTACTTAGTATCGTCCGACTGCACAAAGAAACATTTTTTCAATTAATTTGAATTTTACAACGATTCGTATTTTATTTTTACAACGGTGTATAAATATAATTTATTTTTACAAATATTTATTATCAGGATGGTTTCTAGTTAATAATCCATGGACCAATGGTATATAGTTTATTGGTTGCAAATATTACTACAATCTGACACAAATTAAATTAATGAAATAATAAACTAAAATGAAAATATAATGCTTTACATTCTATATTATACCATTTACAGTTTAACAGATCCCCTTTAACCCTATTTTTATTTAATTTTTTTTTCAGAACTAATCTCCATCGAGCCTCGAATTTTTCTGAAGATTTCAAGTTGATATCGTTTTTTATTTCTAAAGGATTTTTTTATATTTCAACCCTTAACCGCCCCATTTTTTATTCAGACTTTTTTTAATCAATAGGCTTCATTCCCTTATAGAGCTTGATTTAAAAAAATGTTTTTGTTTTTTAATTTCTGATTTTTTTTATTTAAATCCTTAGGATTTTTTTTAAATCCCTCCTTATTAACCACCCATTTTTATTCACATCTGTAATATACCTTTCTAAAATACTGAAAGTTTTTTAACTAAATCTGTCCATATTCTGTCATTTTTTAAGTTTGCGTTTTATTATTATTATTATTATTATTATTTTTTAATTTGGTGTCATCGGCATCGACTACTAAGGCCATTAGCCTCATATTATTATTATTATTATTATTATTATTAATTATTAATTATTATTATTATTATTATTATTATTATTATTATTATTATTATTATTATTATTATTATTATTATTATTATTATTATTATTATTAAATTCAAGACATCCACAGGACTATTCTTCTTTTAAAATATCGGTCCCTAAATCTGATATGGAGAAAATCATGAAACCGGAATTATGGCCCAGTGGTGTGCGCATTAATGAGTTTTTTCTATCAAGAAAAAGACAAATCAACAATCTCTCAGAACAATCTAATGAATAAAAGTTATTTAAAATATCCAAATAGCATTTCAGCTTTTCACATTAATGCTCGTAGTTTAATAAGTAAATTGCATGATTTGTCTATTTTCTTTCATGACCATCCTTTCGATATAATTTGTTTCTCAGAGCACTGGCTGGATCAGCCTTGTTTAGATATGATAAAACTTAATGATTATATTTTGATATCTAGTTTCACTCGCCCTAAAAAGTTACATGGAGGAGTGGCAATATTTGCTAAACAAAATATAAAATGTAAGCCCATTGATCTTAGGGATTTCTCGGAGGTCTATGATGCTGAGTTTTGCGGGACAGAGGTAATAAATTGCAAAACTGTATTAGTTTCATTATATAGGTCGTCCAGTAGGAATAATTTCCATATTTTTAAAAATTGTTTTTTAAAATTGCTTAGTTTTCTATATTTGAGATATGAAATAATTATAATAATGGGCGATTTTAACGTAGAGTTTCATGAAAATGACAATAAAGTTAAGGACATTTGTAACATTATCTCATCATTTGGGTTAACCTATACAATTAAGGAGCCAACAAGAATAGTTTTAGACAGTCGTTCGTGTTTAGATAACATCGTTACTAATTTAAATTTAGACCTTTTTAAGGTAGGAGTATTAGATCCGCATATTTCAGATCATAATGGTCAATTCATATATTTTAATATCTGTGAGAATAAAATAAAACAAAATACACCGGGTAAGACTCGAGTTATAACCAAAAATGGCATTAAGAAATATGTTACCAATCTTACATGCTTTTCATGGGAATCGATAAATATAGATATTGTAAGCGCTTCTGAGTTTGCTACTCTGATTTTAAATATTTTGCAGTCTAATGCTGACATTTGTTTTCAATTAAAAAATGTTAAAAACCAAAATCGGAATATAAAGTGGTTCAATAATAATTTACGCAAAATGAGAACCGATCTCAATAATGCAAAAAAAAATATTTATTCAAACAAATATTGAAGAAGATTGGCATAAATATACATTTCTTAGAAAAACATATAGAAATTCAATCAGAGAAGAAAAACAAAAATCATATGCAGACATCATTAGAAATTCGAACAATAAATCCAAATCATCTTGGCAAATAATTAACTCAGAGAGAAAACGTTCATCTAAAAAAACAGTGACTTTAATTTCTCCATCAGAATTTAACGATTTCTTTGTTTCAATTTCCGAAACAATCCTTCAGTCCATTGGACAGTCAAAACACGAATCTGATTTTTTTCTAAAGAGCATTAAAAAACCAACTTCTTCTTTTTTTTATGAGTGCAATCTTGGAGTCAGATGTGCAACAAGCTATATTGAAACTAAGTAATTCGTCATGTATTGATTTTTTTAATATTAACAGCAGAATGATTAAAGAATCTAGTGAATGTTTAGTTAAACCACTTACTAGCTTATTTAACAAATGCATAGAAGAGGGAAGCTGGCCAGACTCTTTCAAAATTACGAAGATAATACCTCTGCATAAAAAAGGAAGTGTGGATATTCCAGATAATTACAGACCAGTAGCGATTTTACCTGTACTTCATAAAATATTTGAAATTATTATAAAAGAGAAGTTGATTTCATACTTTGAGTCAAAATCTCTATTATCTGAATTTCAATTCGGATTCCGGAAAAACAAATCCACGATTCATGCTTTGATTTGTCTGTTAGAAGAAATAATAGTGAATCTCAATTATGGTGCCAGCACAGTGGCAACTATGTGCGATTTAAGTAAAGCGTTTGATTGTGTTCCTAGTAATATTCTCTTAAATAAATTAGAGTTTTATGGCATTAGAGGTCGAGAACTACAGCTATTTCAATCCTACCTCACTAATAGAACGCAATATGTAGTGCAAGGGGATCAGACGTCGAGTCTACAACCTATTACCAGTGGTGTGCCTCAAGGTTCAATTTTAGGACCGATATTATTTATTATATTTGTAAATGACCTCCCCGGTGCAATAGATAAATTCTGCGTATTGTTTGCTGATGATACCACTTTATTGACAAAGGGAAACAAATCGGATGGCATCAATCAAGTAAATGAATGGTTTTCTGCTAACAAGTTAAAACTAAATGAAACTAAAACAAATAATTTATTAATAAGTTCAGATAAATGGGCCACAAAATCACAACCCGTTAAATTATTAGGGATATATTTGGACACTTGCCTGAATTGGGCACCGCACATTGATTACCTTTGCTCTAAAGTATCATCGCAAATATTTGTCATTCGTCAATTAAAATCCTGTTTACCATCGTATTTACTCAGAACAATCTATTTTTCCTTAGTTCATAGTCTTATAACCTATGGAGTTAGACTATGGGGTAACTCGACTAATGCGTATAAAGTTTTCATACTCCAGAAGGCTGCAGTACGACTAGTCGATAACGCTCCTTTTAATACACCATGTCAACAAATATTTAAGAAATTGGGAATATTGCCTCTCCCTTCAATGTACATATTTGAAACATTATTGGAAAAACATGAAAATCGACACAATTTAACGAGACATGTGGATGTGCATAACCACAATACACGTTTTTGTCAAAATATAATCATTAATGATTCTAGATTAAAATGTACCAAAAGCAATACTTTAGACGTGTCCCTTTTTAACTCTTTCCGCAACTATTTTTGCGACATTAATATTGAAGGTATGTCAAAAACTCAGTTTAAAATATTTACCAAAGAGTTTTTGCTAAAGTATTGCTTTTACAGTACTGATGAGTTTCTTCACGAACTAAAATAATATGTGTTGTATATTTGATTAAAATTTTGTGTACCTTGACTTAATAGTTACTGTAAATTCATTTTAATACATTTTTATAAGTTTTATAAACTATTTTAACTTTTAACGATGCAATGATTTATTCTATAATTGATATAGTTATGCTATTTTTATATAATTGTAATTTTTCT